TACAATGAACAGGTGTCCACATAGCAGTATTGTTTCAAGTATGGATTGGTTAAAGTGCAGTGCATGCTACATATTGATGGTGTGCAGTGAGGGTATGGAAGAGCCTGTTCGTGGTGTGTAAGCTTGGCACCCCTGTCTTTGGGAATTTTTTACCCATTCCTCTTTGCAGTACCTCTCAAGCTTTTATCAGGTTGGATGGGAAGTGATGGTGTACCGCCATTTTCAGATCTCTCCAGAGATGTTCCATAGCATTTAGGTCTGGGTTCTGGCTGGGCCACTCAAGGACATTCAACGAGTTGTTGTGAAGCCACTTCATTGATATTCTGGCGACGTGTGGGATTGTTGTTCTGCTGGAAGATGAACCGTCACCCCAGTCTGAGGTCAAGAGCACTCTGAAGCAAGTTTTCATTCAGGCTGTCTCTGTACATTACTGCATTCATCTCTCCCTCTATCCTGACTAGTCTTCCAGTTCCTGCTGCTGAAAAACATCCCCACAGCATGATGCTGCCACCACCACGCTTCACTGTAGGGATGGTATTAGCTTGATGATGAGCGGTGCCTGGATTTCTCTAAAGTAACGCCTGGCATTCACTCCAAAGAGTTCAATTTTAGTCTCATCAGACCAGAGAATTTTGTTATGGTCTGAGAGTCCTTCAGATGCCTTTTGGCAAATTTCAATTCTAAGGAGTGGCTTCTGTCTGGCCACTCTACCATACAGGCCTGATTGGTGGATTGCTGCACAGATGGTTGTCTCTCTGTAAATTTCTCCTCTCTTTCTACATAAGAACGCTGGAGCTCAGACAGAGTGACCATTGGACTATTGATCACCTCCCTGATTAAGGCCCTTCTCCCCCGATCGATCAGCTTAGATGGCCGGCCAGCTCTAGGAAGAGTCCTGGTGGTTCCAAACATCTTCCGCTTACGGTTGATGGAGACCACTCATTGGAATTTTCAGAGCAGCAGAAATTTTTCTGTAACCTTCTTTAGCCTTGTGCCTTAAGACAGTCCTGGCTCAAGCAAAGGCTGTCAATACCTATGTACATGTGATTTCTCAGGTTTTTTTTTATTTTTTTTATTCATTTGCAACAATTAAAAAAAAATATTTTTTTACGTTATCATAAAGGGGTATTGTGTGTAAAATTTTGAGGAAATAAATGAATTTAATTCATTTTGGAATAAGGCTGTAACATGAAAATGTAAAGCACTATGTATACTTTCCGGATGCACTGTACATAATAAATATATAGAATACTGTACACATGTCTTATGTCAAAACAAACTATTTTGGTGTCATTGATCTTTGCCTAATACTACTGTTAACCAAAAATAAGCATGGAAAATGCATTGTCAACAGCAGCGTATATGGCATTGGTTCAAGCATTCACTTTAACTGGCTATTTTCTGCTCTTTAATTCTGATGGTTGGTTTACCAGTAGGGTTGCATGAAATTGGGAAAATCTGATATTGTGATATTTTATTATTCTGTGATAAAATTTGTGATATGAATACAGTTTAACAGGATGGTTTGAATAGCACTATTTGATAGTTTTCTGGGAAGTCTCTAAATAAATAATCACAATGCAAAAATGCTTTTCTTACTTCGGGTTGTCTCATTTTTATTCAATTCAATTCAGTTCAGCTTTATTTGTATAGCGCTTTTACAATGTAGATTGTGTCAAAGCAGCTTCACATAAATGGTCATAGTAACTGGAACAGTGTAGTTCAGTTTTTAGTGTTTAAGTTCAGTTCAGTTTAGCTCAGTTCAGTGTGATTTAATCATTACTGAGAGTACAAACACTAAAGAGCATATTCATCGATGCGTAGCTCTACCAATCCTGAACCATGCGAGCCAGTGGCGACAGCGGAGAGGGAAAAAAAACTTTACCTGATGGGAGTGAAGAAAAAAAAACCTTGAGAGAACCAGACTCAGTTGTGCACGACCATTTTAATTTCTCTGCTGGCCAAAAGTCTTGTGCAGAGCTTCAGTCACCGCGGTGGAGGCTGGAAGATGGCCTCAGCGAAGACTCGTCTGTCCCTGGAGCGTCGCTGGAATCAGTCTCATGTTCTCCACTTCCCATGACCATCAGCGCAGCAGCAGCTCAGGATATGGCCTGGTCCCGGATATGGAAACCTTGGGATCATCTCGTCGCTGGTCTTGGATCCAATCAGTGACTCCGCATAATCTGAGGACCTCGGGATGAGTATCCCCAGGTGAAAATAGAGAATAAAGAGAATAATTAGCGTAGCTGTTGTTCATAGTGTATATAAGCAAGATGCAGAAGCCTGTGTGGAACCCGCTAGGTGATGCATTGAGTGTATGCTTTACTAAACAGATAGGTCTTTAATCTAGTTTTGAACTGGGAGAGAGTGTCTGAGCCTCGGACATTATCAGGAAGGCTATTCCAGAGTGTAGAAGCCATGAAAGAGAAGGCTCGACCTCCTTTTAGTCCAAATATCTGAAAAATCTTGTTTTTGCTTTGAAATGTAGACATTTGGACAAGAAACAAGACAAAAATTTTAAATAAGAAAAGCTTTTTTTCTACATAAATCATATACGTTTCATATAAATGTGTTAATTAAATAAAATGTTGTATTTCCTGGTCAAATATAATCCAGACTCAACATTGCATATCTTGCGATGTGACTTATACACTCAATACACTTGCGGATACACTCGTTTCGATATGTCTGTCATCCTCGTGAAGGTAAATGCTGATGAAATGCTGACAGACTGTTGCAGTATATGCAGTCTTTAGTAAACTGTAAAGTTCCGGGAATTGCTGTAGTCTAACCTAAGCAGTATGTGTAATTAATCATATGCTTTAAAGGGGAAAGTCCAGCTGGGATTTTAATGTAGATGTGAGCTATGCAAACTCACTTCACTGTAGGCTTATTGTGTGAGGTCTGTCCTGATGTAAACTGTGTGGAGCTGGTGTAATGACAGATTCACACACAAATGAAGAGGATTAAGTGCCAAAGTAAAGTTGACATGAGAATGTTTTGAATAGCTGGATAAAAGAATGTTAAGTGAGTCATATTTAAGCATTAGATGGAATAGTCAGTGCTGTTTCAACTTGATGGCAAGACCTACCTTTTTTGTGCTGCGTACCTTATGACATAACATCTGGAGATCATTGCTTAAGTTAAGTCTTTTGGTTTTTGGTGGTGTTATTTTATGTATGAAATGTTTTTTTTCTCATTTCACAGATTTGCTTATAGTTATTACTAATTATTTAATAAAATTTTTTTTACGTTTTACTTTCATGTATGTTTTTTTTACAAGTGTATACAATTTTTTAACTATATAAGTCTTGCGTTTTTCAAATTTGGGATTCCTTTGTAGGTTTCTTGAAGGAAGCCGATAGTAATAATTTTTCTGTACAACTTGTATTAAATGTTATTAATATACAGTTGTTGTTATATGTTGTACTTTTATATTGTATGTGTAAGTACATGCATTTGCTTTTATGTTTGCATATTTTTATTTTTTTATTTTTTGTTTTATTTTATTATTATTATTTTTATTGTTATTATATATGTTTGGTTTTGATTTCGTATATGTTAAAAGCTACTTAAATCAATGAAGGCTATGCTAAAAAAAGTATGAAATATATTATATTTCTGAGAATCTGTGAAGCTTATTTTTTTTAGAAAAAGTCATTTTTTTGACAGTTATTTAATTTTGTGAACCGGAAGCTATTTTAAAGTATTAAATTCGCATTAAATAATTGGAAATTTATATATATGTTATATATGTTCTTGGATTATTTATTATTTATGTAAAACTGTTGATATAATAATACAACAGATATTAAGAGAACAAAAAAACAACTTTTTTTTAATTATGTACTATTCATGCTTTGTTATTATTTAAAAAAAAATACATTTGAAATCACATTTAAATGTTTTAAGCTATTTAATTAACCAGTTCGTTATTTAATTTTTTTTTATTCATAATTATAGTTTAAGTAATGTTTATAATTAAGACTAGTTATTATTGCCACCATGTCAGAATAACACACGCGAAAATAAGTGCCGTGACTAGCAGCAGTAAGGAGATAGTAAATAAAAAAGGATATAAAGATGTCGTCAAAGTGGCTTTGTGGTTTATTTCCTTGTGCATCCCAGCCACAAGCTGAAAGATTTTTTTTTAGCATAGGGGTAATATATTACTTTAACTTCACAATATCTAATGCTGCAATAAGTATTTCAATAATGATGGTTTGTTCCTTTACTTGAATGCTCAGATTCGATTATCATAATTTGTTTTGCTTACAGAGTTTGAAGTTTACTGTATCATTATTATTGGCATCTTACAGATGTTGATCTACCCTAAAGTTTGCTTTGATTGTTTAGCGTTTACACTTTACAATTGCACACACTTTGTAACATTTTATTTATCAAGTTTAAGAGTCTCTTTTAGGCTTAGGTTTATTTTATTATAAGATATAAGAGACAAGATATTTTTGTTTATTTTTTTATTTTTGACTGAAAACTCTTTGCCTTTCGTAATGTTGGTAAATTAAAATAAAGTAGTTAAATAAAATAAAAAAATCCTAAATGTATTCTAAAAAAAAATCAATTATTATCGATAACAAATAATATGAAACATTATACTCTAATAATTTGTAATATTTGTAATATTTAGCCCCCTAAACACCTTCGTTTGTGTATCCTTTCTCTTGGCAGTGATGCTATATTTTCTCTGGCAGGGGATCAAGTATTTTCTCTGTCCTTTTCTGTGATTCCATGCTGGCATATAGCCTGTTGCACTCTCCATGACCCCCCTTATGTTATATCCTATCATCTTACCATGAATAAACATTCAGACACATTACAAGAGCAGGCAAAGGCCAGGACACTGGTTTAATGCATCGTGCAGATGCTTTTGCATTGCGTTTTTGAAACTATGTAGTGTAATTTAACGGGTTTATATAACAGTTTTTTTTTCATAGTGGTTCTATATGATGATCTAATGTTTTATTTTTTTCTTCTTTCAGGAAAGTTGTCAGAAGGCGCATGCTTTAACTGCACGGCACTGCGGTTAGCCACAAACAGGTAAATCAAGCCAAACACAATTCATGCAATTCAAACTGTAGTCTGATCACATTTTCTATGATTATTACCATGGTTTTTGATTACTAAATTAAAATTAGCTCACACGTATGTTTGGGGAATATCATTATAAGGAAAAAATTAAGGTATTATTTTATTAATAGTGATCATTTTGCCCGTTGATATATTTAGGCCTGTCATATAACCAGGTTACTGGTAATTTATTGTGTGGTGGTCAGTTCACACAGCAGCAACTTTTCATTTCAATGTAATATTTATCACTTTAAATTGACAATATGAAACACGTAAATATGCTTATTAGACATAGTTTTATAGTGTGGAATTAAGCATAGGTTTTCATATCACTACTTGCGGTCTTGCACTGTGAAAGGAACAGATGCTTTCTTGTAGACATCACTTCATTTAGATTTTTTTACTAATTTGTGGCATGTTCTTGACAAAAAAAGTAAATAAAAGGCCGTTGTGCATCTTTCATTTAACTCGAGAAGTTACATGGAATGCAACAGCATTTAATTAGATTAAGAAATAAGTCTAAATGTCAGTCAAATGAAACTGGTATTCAAGGTGTCCGTGGGGTCTTAAAATGTTTAATTTCACAAGCAAAATGTTAGGCCTTAAAAAGTTTTAAATTCACAGAAATATTGTGTTGTAGGTCTTAAATCATTTTAAACAGGTCTTAATTTTAAAAGTTGTTGAAGTAATGTTACCCAATCGGGCCAAACCCATCCAATCACCAACAATCTAACAAAATATATATATTTAAGTTTTTTACCAAAAAGAGATGTTTATGTCACAACAGCTTTTAGACATTTTACAGCGAAAAAAAATAATTTTAATCCCTGATCAGGAAAAGAAAACTAAAAACAATTACACAATTACTCTGTATAATAACAGCAATATATCCCTTTACATAATCTTCCCTTTACACAAAAACTATTTACTGTTGAAAGTGTGAGTGGACATACTATTTATAAATAGGCACGAAATTTACGTTTTATACCAGATATGCATTAGGTTGAAAGGAAGTTATACTACATTACAGTTCATTTGGACCAAAAGCGAACATATGTATATATATATATATATATATATATATATATATTTATATATATATATATATATATATAAATATATATATATATATATATATATATATATATATATATATATATATATATATATATATATATATATATATATATATATATATATATATATATATATATATATATATATATTAGGGATGTAACGGTATTGTAAATACCATCATACCGCAATATTAATTTTTTTCGATATTACCGTAGTCGCATGACTCGGTAAAACTATAGGTCTTCTGAAAAAATTTGCTCAGGCGAATGAAGCGAACGGGAGGTAGCGAAAACTACAATTCCCATCAGCCCAGGGGTGGCCATCATCCCTTGCGGTCTGTTGTCTACAGATACAGTAATGCGGAAATGGAGTGTGCTGCTAGAAGCGGGCATCAAAAAGAGCTGGAAATGATCGAACCTGAAGCGGGTGTTGTCGCTGCACGCGTACTGAATAGCGGTGTTGTCGCACGCGTTCTGATCAGCTGTGTTGTCGCGCGCGTTCTGATCAGCTGTGTTGTCGCGCGCGTTCTGATCAGCTGTGTTGTCGCGCGCGTTCTGATCAGCTGTGTTGTCGCGCGCGTACTGAATAGCGGTGTTGTTGCGCGCTTTCTGATCAGCTGTGTTGTCGCGCGCGTTCTGATCAGCTGTGTTGTCGCGCGCGTACTGTAAAGCGGGGAAGGGGGGGGGTTGAGCGCGCATACTGAAGGGCGGGACGGAGGGTGTGACACAGCACACTGTTCAGATTGATACAGACATGAGACCTCTCTCACTCATGGTTTGTCCTCTCAAGTGGGGAAAAGACAGTGCACAACGTTACCTACTGCTGTCAACTTGGGCCAAGTCATATCTCTCTGTCCCAGAAACCTCAGTCCCAAATGAGAGGGTTTTTTTTCTGTTGCAGGGGACATTGTAAATGCCCAGAGATACCAGCTTTTACGGATTATAGTTATATGATAATTTTACTTTAAACCCATCTCTATCTAAGTGAGTGAGTGATTAAATGTTGAATGTGATGAGTTTTCAACAATACTAAATTGAAACTTTATTTTTTTACATGGTTTAATAATTTTTTGTTATTAAAATTGAAGTTCCTGTTTTAAAGCTTACAGATAGATGGCTAATTTGTATGTCATTGACACTTTTGGCACTTTTTTGGAGTATTTTCATAAGTTTTGTTTTTTCCTGTAAATGATTCAATAAATACCGTACCGTGACATTCATACCGAGGTATTACTGTACCGTGAAATTCTGATACCGTTACATCCCTAATATATATGTATGTGTATATATATATATATATATATATATATATATATATATATATATATATATATATATATATATATATATATATATATATATATATATATATATATATATATATATATAATAATTATTATTATTATTATTTGTGTAGTTTTCTTCATAATAAATATACTTTTAATTAATTTCATTAAAAAATAAACACTATGTTGAAATAAAAAAATGTATATAGAATTATAGTTGTCTTGTTTTGACACATTCAAATATGTGATTAAGAAATAACTACTTTTATTTTTTTCCAATTCCATTGATCCAACTGGGCCATTACAAAAAAAATATTTTTTTAGCCCCGTATAAGTCTAAAATCTCATTTATATTGGTCTTAAAAAGTCTTATATTTCACTTGATGAAACCTGAAGAAAACAATTAAACAAGGGGCAAAGCAACAGCATCTGAAATTTCATTTCATTTAGCTTTTTTTTAGTACGGCCACACAATATTTGAAAAATCTGAGATTGTCAGATAATGTTCTTTGGCAGTATATATTGATGTATGAATATAATTCTACCCGATTAACTTGGCTAGATATATCTAACGATATATTGTGGAGCCCTATTTTTTTTTTTTTACACCAATTCAGAATTTTTTTTTTTTTTTAAATGAATTGGTTTTTCAAATATAAAGCTGAATCTGTGGTAAAAATTGAGTTTTGTTAAAAAGGAATTTTAGGAATTGAATCTTGATTCATTAAAGTGTTTCATGCAGACAAAAAACGGTTCTGCCAAGGTTTCATTACAAAATGTTACAAAGCAATTTTAACAACATTTTTACTCTGTGTTTGCAACTTGAAAAGCTTGATAAATTTTGTAAAACTTTAAAACTTTTTTACAATCAGCATGACATTTGCAATTGTGATGAAATTAAAGAAAACCCTCTTTTTTGTGATGTTAACCAAATAATATATAATTTTGAAAGCTCTTTTACCTTTAATCAAAGCTTGTTTAACTTTACTGAATGCTCTATTTTCCTCAGTCCTGGTGTTCTTGGAGGAATCGTCTGGCCTCATGCATCATCTGTCCAATACCTGGACAACTCCTCTGTGCTTCAGCGACGCTTGTCTAGATCTCCTCGTCTTTATTGTGCCATCTTAGTACCTGACCCTGCCCTGCCAGTCCACTCCCGCTCCACATACCACAGAACATTAGCTTGGCCACAGAACGCCCCAGTCCGGTGGGTTCATACCACAGGCCGCCTGCTCGATGATTCAAAGGTGGAGCGCTCTTTACGTACCCTGAAGGATCGAAATAAAAAGCTGGAGGAGGGCGGACCAGTGTACAGCCCGACGGTGGACGCTGAACCTGTGCGACGGACAATACGGCAGCGTGTTATCGATGAGGTGAAACATTACTATCACGGCTTCCGTCTGTTGTGGATCGACACGACCATCGCTGTGCGGATGCTGTGGAGGGTGTTGAATGGACACATTCTGTCGCGCCGAGAGAGAAGACAGGTATACATGCTGTCAAACAAGTGATATTTCTACTAAAAAATGTAGCATAAATTCACATAAAAGAATAGTTTAAAACTTTAATAAGGAATAGATAATTTTTTTATATAGACCATTAAATATATTTATGTAGTCACACCTACTGTTTTTTTTGACAACGAAAATTTAAGTATTCGCACAAGTAAATTACATACAAGTCTATGCAAATGAGCAAAGTTCATTTAGTTCATTTCCAGCAGGTGACACAAATGATGTAGAATGTGCAACGTGTTTGCCCGGCTGTGACGTGCAGAATTGACCTCAACCACATCTTCTGCTTAAGTTTTTAAAAATTTCAACTTCAGTGGAAAATTCATCTGAGTTAAGGCTTGTATACACCGGGACGCTTTTCGTTTGCGTTTATCATTAGCGATTTTCAAAACTTTTTTCCGGATTCAAACCCAAGTCATTTTTCAGTTTGTCCAATTCGGTCAGATTTTTGTTCGTTTCTGCATTGGCTTTGTTTTATAGACCCCTTAAGTAACACTAGTACCAACATAATTCTCTTTGACCTGTGAGTGCCTATGGTGGAATGTAAATGGTTTGTTTGTCTGTCATTGCCCTATGGATTTAACCCTGGGTAATGTAATTAAGTCATGTTGGTAGGATTTAAAGTGGAAGGTTAGCATTCTTCCGTGGTTTAATCCCAGCCCTATAAAGCCTGGCTGGATCTCTTATGTAGCTTAATGATTTTAAATTGGTGCCATGCTGAGTCTTCAGGGAAGCGTCATTAGAGATCATTCTGCAAGTCAGGAGGCCAAGAGAAACTAAAGACATTTTTAACCAGCTCACATGATTTCTAGCACTGCTGAGGCTGTAAAGATGAAGACCCCCTGAGATCAGATTAAAACCCTCATAACACACTTTGGTCTGTTTGGATGTTTGAGAAATGCATTGAGGAATATTCTGAAAACTGCTTTGAGTTTAGTGAAGGAATACATTTTTGCTAGTGTTGTAATCAGCCCATGCTCATTGGAAATACATGCTTCAGCTTAAATTTATTTTGTGAAATGTAAAGTTTGATACTTTGGGTGTTTTGTTGTATGTTTCAGGTACATGTCCTTATTTTAAATGTTTTTTTACATGTTTACTTGTACCATTCATTTTATCTTGAAACTGCAGTCAAACATATGTTTAGGAAATAATTTTTGGATTTCACAAAGCTTAAAAATATATTTCAGATGAGCCTGATTTGGTTTTAAGGCGCTTGTAATACACTTTTTTTTAACCAAATTTATATATTTATATTTATATATATATATATATATATATATATATATATATATATATATATATATATATATATATATATATATATATATATATATATATATATATATATATATATATATATATATATATATATATATATATATATATATATATATATATATATATATATATATATATATATATATATATATATATATATATTAGTGCTGTCAAAATTGGTGCGTTAAGGCATGCGATTAATTTGAACTATTTAAAGCGTTAAAAAAAAATTAACACAATTAATGCAGTTGCAGTTTTTTTATTTCCTGTTGTGGTCGACGTGTGTTCAGCATGCAAAGAAATATGGATAAGACCAAGGAAGCACTTTTTGTAGGCAAGTTTTAGTATAAAACAATTAATGTCGCATTACCAGGCTATCCAGCGTTTCCTCCAGAGTTTAATGCAATTTCGGGTGTTTCATTTTTAACTTTTGATTTAATGAAATTTGAATGAATTTAATGAATTGAAAAACCTCCGCATTTCATGACTCTGTGATCCTTTAAGGTAATTAAAAATTGTTGCTTACATGGTAGATTCTTAATAAGAGTATTAATCATATTAAAATCGGAGTATTGGTGTCCCTGTAAATGTACTCAGAAAATGCCAGATGATGTTGCAAGCTGTCAAAGACAGTGCATTCTTCTGCCTTTCAGCATGCACCCTCAAACGTGTCATTAAGTTTGACGTGTTTCCCCCTTAAACGCAAGTGTTTGCTTTGCGTTGTTGTGTCAGAATTTTTGTGAAATGCAGCTATACTTTAGAACGATTAGTTTAAGCAAATTTGATGAACGTGATCATGCGTGTTGAATCTGAAGGGAGTCGCTCCAACTGCCCTGTCCTGTGTGTGTGTGTGTGTGTGTGTGTGTGTGTGTGTGTGTGTCCACACGCATGCGCTTCTTAAGGCTGATTTATACTTCTGCCTCAAACGCCGGCGTATGCTACGGCACTGACGCATAGCCTTTCGCCGTCGGCGTCGCTGACGTGCACCTCTCAAAAAATGTAACTACACTTCGCAACGACGCGTAGCGCAAGCTCTGTGATTGGTCGGCTTGGTAGCGCTGACGAGTCTGGGCGGGACTGAGAGCCCCGTGAATGGTGCGAGCCTGATGGAGCGATTGTTTACCATTGTGGAATCCCGTGAAGGAGCTCCGAATGGAAAGTTTTGTTTTGTGTTTACCTCATAGTTAAAGTTGTTGCACGTCCGCCAGTTCCTGCCTTAAAATGAGTGAGTTTGAGCCACTTGTACATCCCGGAAGTGTTCAGGAAAAGCAAAAAAGCAGCGAAGAAACTCGACACAGAGGAACATTTACACCTCACTGCCAACTAGCGTTTCGGAAGTGTTAATGCAAACCAACAGAGACAGCGCGCAGAAGTATTAATGCACAGCCACGCGCGTTGCATGCGCCGTGGGTTACGCCAGTCACTTGATACAGAAGTATAAATCAGGCTTTAGCAACAAACCTGCCTAAACGTTGTTGTTCATAGCCACTACATCAAAAAGTTACGAATTGCCTAATATTGCGTTTCAACCTCAGCTCACATCATTCAAAATAAAGGGTCCACATTGTGCCCCGATAATTTCAACAGACTGGACTGTCTTAGCAACTGCCTGATTGTAAAGGAGGACTAAGCAAAATTGTTTCTACTTTATAATTAATGTTGTCAACTCACAGCAATACAACTTTACAATGAGTACAATTGTTTGTATTCAATTCTTTATTGGAATTATAATTTAAAATTTTCAATATTTGCATTGCCTGTTTTTTTGCAGTCTACTTAAAATCCAACATGGAAATAATTTTTTTCTTTATTGGCATTGATTGTTTTGAAATTCAAAGGGCATTAACATGCCTGTGTTTTAATTTCTGCAATAAATATGGCTGTCAAGCCAGGGGATCTTGATGGTTTATTGTGCGTATGTTGTTTACATGAAGATATCTGTTTTACAAGTGAAACAAAAATTCTAATAAACAATTATATTTTGAATTTAAATAGTTTTTGTCTTCCGTTTACATAAATTTTACATTTGAACAGCCAAAATGGCAAGTTTCAGTCTTTTAAATGTGATTAATCGCGATTAATTTCCAAAAAAGTGTGATTAATAAGTCATTTTTTAATCGATTGACAGCACTAATATATATATATGTATTTACACTGTTTCTTTTCAATGGGTTAAAAAAAAGTTGAAATAAAAATAAATTCACTATTTCTCTTTTATGCTATTCAGGAGCCATGTGCACCCTCTGACATGAAAAATCTGCTTCAAAGCAAACTTGAATGCCAAAGCATTTTAGATATGTATAAAATATGTAATATATTGATAAAAACAGTAAAATATACAGCAAATGAGAAATAAATAACAGAAAAAAAACGATAGACAATTTATCTACAAATTTGTTAAAAAAGGCAAATGCATTGATTAACAATTGCTAATGGTGTACATATATTTTGCAGCTAGTTTAGACTAGTCAATTTGTCCTCTCTGAGTCGTTTTTCTGAGTCGTTTAGATTTAAGAATGAATTATTTTACGTTTCCCTCGGCAAAGTCATAAGGACAGCTTTAGAAAGCAAAAGCCGAATCCTGGACCATTTAGCAGCTGTTAATATACCTGGGCGGCCCACCCAAGTAAATGTGTGGGAAGCACTGATATATTTTTATTATTTTTTAAATTAAGCATCAAGCGCAGTTAAGTGACAGAGCTATTTGTTTAGTGTTTATTCATGAAATTATAATAGCGCCAACATTTATGTACACCTGACAAATCAATTCAGCATGAAACACGGATCAGTAAAAAGATTAGGATTTATAAACAAAATATCAAAGGACTTCAGGGGATTTTCTATTGGTAATTTTCAGATTATATGGTCTTATACATTTTATTTAATTAAAAATTCAGATACAATTCATCATTAGTAAAGAAAAGAAAAAATTTTTTTGTGTGGATCATGTGCAGTCTTAATTTCAAAGAATGTATAAACTTATAAGCAAATCAAAATGGATAAGTGGAGTAAAAACATGGTAAACATGATAACATTAAAAAAAGCTAAAGGTCAGATCGATTGTGACTTTGTAAAAAAAAAATACTATTTTGTAAAACACCAATTGCCATACAATAATACAGATTATGAATTCTGAATGCACTAATCGGCTAAAGCAAAAATGTGATGCAGTTAGAGCTGTTATATTGTGATCAGAAGTGTCTGGTCAGTGTTTTTTCTTTATCTCTGTTTTCTGTGTAGTTTAATGATTTATAGATAATTACGGCTAACATTAACACGTGGATGGCGGCTGGCTCATGCAGACTGACTGCAGGGAAGTCTTGTTCCTTTGAGATATGTTGTCCTTGAGAGGGCATGTGCTTTCACTTTATGTCCATTAGGTGCCATTACTTTAATGAAGCTACTGAACAAATCTTTTCCACCTGGTGGACAATAAAACGTGTGAAAATGTGCTAAGTGTAAGGACTTTGACTTGGGGCTGTAAGAAACCACCCAGGGGGACCTATCAGCTTCAGCAAAACACCCATGATTTATACACAGCTGAACAGGGCGACTTAAAATGCTTGTCAAAAACCACACACTCCACACTAATATAATATAATATAATATAATATAATATAATATAATATAATATAATATAATATAATATAATATAATATAATATTCTATTCTATTCTATTCTATTCTATTCT